AACGTTAGTTAATTTTAAGTAAAAGTGTATTATTTGGTGAAACCTGTAAGCTTAGCATCAGTTGTATTCTTTCATTAATATTTAGTACTATGTAAATGAGGGAAAATGAAATTTCAGTTATTAAAAGAGGTAGTAGTGATTTTGACGGTGTTTGGTTTTTAGTTTTCAAATAACCATTGTTGAACTAAGAATAATCATTATGTAAATAGGTTCAGTAACTGTGGTATCGGCATAAATTCTATTCTATATTTTTTTGATTCGCATTATTTGAATTATTCTTCCCAATAAAAACTAATTCTTTTACTTTCTGGTAGTGTCCGTTTACTAGTAAAGAGTATTTATTCGTTTTTTAAGTTAATTCCAATTTGTAAAATTTATTCTTCTGTTTCATTAGCCATCATACCCATTCGTAACCATTACATTTCTTCTTGTTATTTTATGCAGCACATAAGGGCTGTCACTTAAATGCTTCAAGTTTAAAATTATATTTTTATTATTTGATATAATTTCTTGGACGATTTTAGTATTTCTTTGCTCAAAATCAGGTTTTATGAGTCCAAAGAATTCAAGCTACCTGTCCACTTTACGCTTTGTGTATTGCCATAAGAATTAATGTCATCATAGTGCTTTGACACCACACTTAAGTTTCTTCCAAATTTTTGTTACTCCTTGTGGTACGATTTACAGAGAAGTTGAAAGAATTTCTAGTAAGATTTGCATAAAAAATGGCTAGAGTTTCTGTGAAATAAAAAGCCTTTTGAATTGCATTGAAGCGATTATTCTTCTGCCCATTTTACGTTTAACATCAACTGCTTTTAACATTCTGTGTAAGTACCGGGTTAGGAAAATCCATGTTGGTCGACGTGGTATGTATTTCATCAAATTATGTCTTACTCGGGGAATAACAAGAAGTGTTAGGAAATTTGGTTTTTTAATGGTCGCATTAACCCGTGTATTCATCATTTTTTATAGAATAATTCAATGCAAATTACGTCTATCAGCCTCTGCCCCGACTCGTAGACACGTTGCTTGAAAATTTACCAATCGTTGAACTTTTCGTATCTGACTAAATTCATTCCATCAAACCTCATTACCATTTCGGCCTTCCTGATTTGGTCTGTCTGGTCACAAAATTTCACATTGGACGGTAGTAATTTTGAATGGTACAGGAAGCTTTCTATGATCAGCATACAAGAATTTTATATCAATGTTACAAACATTATTGCAGCTTTCTGTTTGATTCTCTAGTCTATTTGCGGTAGAGAAATTTGGAAGTTTTTGTGGGTACCGTTAGATATGCCTGGGCGTACCTGCATCACTCTTTCTCTGTTTAGTGCTGCTGACCTTACATAATTAATACCTGTACCCGTAGTGTTTCACTTGGATGTAGTGAGGACGTTTTTAAGGGGAAATAATTTTCTCAATATTTTGTTGCACTTTTTCTGGAAAACCTCCAGCATCAAACACTGTGGTATTTCATGCAAAAAAACGTTTTTCGAGGAGCGCCAAGAATTGTTCACCTTTTGTGCTTGGTACTTTGCCCACGCCTTTCCGTCACTTAAATGGAGGATTCTAGAAAGATCAAGGGTTAATGATGTATTAGTTATTAACAATGTTACACACTACACACAAGCCACAGGCAATTAAAATGTATGTAATATTTCTTTAACATAATTTAAAGGTATGGGTTTTTAAGCATCTATTTGCGATTTTAAAAAGGTAACATTTCTTCCTTTATGTGGAATGGTGTATTTGTGACAACTGAATCTTGTTTGGCTTATGGGGTTAAATTTTTGGCATTTTAAAATTATATATAGAAAATTAATGGATTTCAATTGTCCTTGAAGAAGGCAGTAATTAATCGCAAGAATAGTTACTTTCGAAAAATTAACTAGTCGTAAGAACTGTATAGTGTGGATAATAGTGGTGCAATTAAAATGCATTGTTTGTCAAGTCGGCCACGTTGAAAACTAATTTTTTCTTCATATGTCCTTTTGATAACACAAATTTACATTCCACAAATAACGAGGCTTTCGATTTTTTTTTATTAAATTTATGTTTCTATCTAACAATTATGGAAAACGATTGTTTTTATTAACAATGAAACTATTAACATAACATTATTTAATATATTCACATATACTGTTAACAGTACAGTTTGAAAACCGGTCAGAATTAAAACTACTTTCTTTCTTAGTAGTAAACTAAGTGGCACGAATGGTTCCATTGGGTGAAGAATATAATCTAGTTTTAGACATAATTTTTTCTGCAATTCTAAAAACCAACTTTATTCTGAATGAAAATAACAAATTCAAACCTTAAATTCCCCTGATTTAACCATGAATCTGAGTACGAAGTTATACAACGAAAGTTTATATGTGTATTTGTAGCACTCAAGATTTTTTAAGTCAACTGTTTACAATGCTTTTATAACACTTCACTGCCGTTGTTGGTGTGATTCATTAATAATGTTTACACCCAAAATTAAAGCAGGGTAATTGTGTTTGTACAACCGTTGTTATCACACGATGAACCGTAATTGTTGTAGCGGGTATTTGGTGCATACGACCGAACTATAACTGTTAACTTTAGACCATGAGTAGTGGAAAGCATTCTATGAAATACTACCCCCGCCTTTCTATCAGAGAAATAATTAAGCACGTAGCCGGTGTAGTAAGTTGTGCAACAACGAAGTTTGTCTTTACGTTAATTAAGTTAAAGAATAAATGGGAAGAAACGCTCACAAAGAAGCAATAAAACAGACTTTAAGCATCCAAAAAAAGGGGCAAATGTTTGCATTATCATGCCTAAATCAACATTAAATTTTCTTAGGTTAGTGTTCGCGGCCTGATAAGAATCTTAATGTTTCGTGAGCGTAGTTTGAAGTGCTGCAGCCATTTACACTTGAGGTTATGCCGGGTTTTAAGGTTAGAGTACCCACAAAGGTGTATAATTTTCTCCTGGATTCTTCTGGATTTAATTTTCTCCCCGAGAGCGATCCTGGGGGTTCGATTCTGACTGATTCTTATTCAGGTTCAGGTCTTTTTCGGCGTGTTTCACAGCGAAGGCCAAACACCAGGTTTTATGTCATTCAGACCAATCACAATCGTCCCAGTCCATTGCATAAATATTTTAAGTAGACAAGTTACGCGAAATGAGAATTTGAGGTTTTAAACTTTAATTAACGGCTTTAACGCGGAAAATTTAAATTCATTTGGATGAGACAGGGTATACAAGTAATTTACTTTCCATTTTTTCCATTTTTTAAGAATATATGTTTGTTATAATTAGAAGTATAAATTGACTACGTATAACAACTGATCACAAGTCTTGCGTCAGAATTACTGTACTATTTGTTTAACTTAGGAGTATTTTTTGCTTCAATTTCATCGTTTTTTTTAATTTTGAAGGGAAAATTGATGCTCCATGCCCCATTTTGCGTGAATCGTGCCGTTGCGCAGAACACTTCAATTCTTAGAGTCCAGTCCCCATGATTGGCCCCGTAGTACAATGAAAATACAATATTTAATGCACTTATTTTCAATGTTTTCAACGTGTGTTTCTGAACAGACGATTTCTGCAGGTCGAACTCACATCCCAGTTTCTTCATTTGATTTTCTGTGAGGTTCAGGCTGTCCTTTATAAGATGCAGCGGTCCCGGTTGGGAGCGATGATGATGAGGTCATCTGCAAGTTATTCCAGGTTAGATGTAATCGGTGACGTTACATCAGTCGTTAATAGTACATCTCTTGACGCATTCTGTTACTAAAAGGTGTTGTACACAACAGATTGGATAACACAATTACGAGTGCAATTTTTATTTCTACATTACTTGGTATTAAGGATATTTACACATTTAAATTACAAAAAACAGCTAGAGAAACCCCTAACAAGAAAGCAATAAAAAATTTTTTTTTGATTCATCTATATATAAATTTTTTATTGCTTCACTATGTTAACTATGGAATTTATTGCTATTGCAATTTTTGTGAAAACAATTGCTACTATTAGTGCCTCAATTAACTAACACACGACTACTTTTACTAATGTATTAATTCAGTGGTGCTGCGTTTGACAGACCAGTTAGCTACCCTTTGACACCTATCAGGAAGTTTTTAATTTCTATTCAGTGTTTCCAATTGATTCTATGAAATACCAAACGGTTTTGTACGCGATTGTCTGAAGATATATTGAAAATCTCAGTTATTTTGAATTCATGTTGGATTGGTCGGTGTCAGATATTCGGAGGTATTTTTCGGTCAATCGGGTAGGGTATGTTTCTAGAGATCTTTCATCTTATTCTCATAGATTATGTGGGTCAAAGTCATGCTTATTAGATGGAGGCTTGTGCTTGCCTTGTTCACAGATACACATTACCGGTGCGGTTCAAAATAACAAGGTGTCGATACCTGGCTGGGAAACGTGTCCGGCCAATCCCGTTGTAACGATACTTTAAATTGCAAATTAAATTCACATATTTAAATTGCCGTGTGCTTCTCATCTTTATATTTAGTACCTATTTACGATTGTAGATTTGTAGGTGGCAAGATTCAGGTCTGTACTAAGTTATAGTATACCGCTTCGGATGGGTAATCTTTTGGTTTATACATTAGGTTACAGGAGTAGAATATTAGAACTGCAAAAATAAAATAAAAACCAATGCATTATTGTAATGGAGAACATCGGTGTGAACTTTCCTGTAGTAAAAATTTTCACATTTCTCGAAATAACCGGCAGTAATTATTTCATAATGTGTTTTCTAAGTGGCGTCAGTATTACTCTTAATCCAGGTTCACTTTAAAATTTCTCATCAATGGAAATACAAAGTTGGCACGTAGGAACAAAAAGTTTACGCGTACCATGTTAAAAATCATAGATTTTTACCTTTGACTGTATTATTCCGTTTGAATACGCTTTAAAAAAACAGTTGGCGAAACATTGGAAAAAATGTTCAAAACAAAAAAAGTATTGTAGTACGAAAAAAAGTAAAAAGTGCTTATTGGCAGCGGTGGGATTCGAACCCACGCCCTTGCGGACTGGTGCCTAAAACCAGCGCCTTAGACCACTCGGCCACGCTACCTCGTTGATACTGCCGTTCAGAATGTCTTATATAAGATGGCCCCCGTTTAGTTTCCCCTTGTTGAGCAATTTCCCATCAGGAAATAAATCATTTTCGTTAAACAGCTACCGGAAAGGCATTTTAAACTCTTTTTTTAAAAAATATCTATCGGTTTAGTCGCAACAGCACAGAGTTTATTTGAAAAGCTGTTACTGTTCTCGCTATTTTCTAGTTACACCTTTTCCACTTTACTTTTATGTCGAGTTTTGTGAATATTTAAATGAAATATCTCGTACAACCGCATTAATAGAACCATTTGTAGTTTTCACAATGAATATTTCTTGACAAGAAAAGCCCATGTCGTCGGCGATTGTTTGTTAGAAAATTCTTGTTTTTCATATTTTTGCGCTGTTAACAAAAATTTAGGAAGCTATTAAATATGAATGTATACATACCATTTTTTGAGTTCAAAAAAATGTCGGTTGTCGGTTGATTTTACAAGTATGTTAAGACGAGTAGTGTTGTAGTGCATAATACAGAAATACAGCAAATGTTAATATCGTCAATCTAATTGCCTCACAAAAGATAAGGTAGAAGCTAGAATTCAGTGGACGCCCTAATATCACACTTGGGGTGGGTATAGTTTTGGGTAAGTGAGATAATGGGTGTGGTTGTCGATGGGTTCCCAATAAATGGAGAAAACCATGGTAATAATGATGGTGCAAATTTAGATCGCAACTAAACGCTCAGAATCTTAATGGATTAATTTCTCATTACTACTGTTACATTCATTAGCATTTGAAGAATAAAAAATACCACGACGGAGAAAGAAATATTAATTGGTCTCAAACAAAGTTAATGGTATCGCTAGGTGAAGAAGGTGTTAAGCTTAACCATGTCTTTTCATCGTAATTAACTTTCCATTAACAAAGATATATTAATTTAACAAGATATATTAAGTTAACAAAGTAAATTAATTTATTGTCTAAGAATAGTTTGAATTTACACTAGAGTAGTGCTCGCTGCTGATAATATTTTCAAGATATTTTCACGCATAGAAAAGACATACCACGTGAAATTGCATGACGAGAGGACAGAGCTCATCAATTATTAACTCATTAACTTCCCCTATGTACCTTTTTGCTTTGAAATACCTAAAGGCCAAACTTCCTTACTTCGTTTGAATTTAGTGAACAGTGTATTTTTTGAGATCCTGATAATTTTGTAACTAAAATGTAAGCACTGATGACCTTATATGTATTATGTATATTGTATGTTATATTATATGTAACCCACACATGTTGTTTGTAAGAAAAATCGTACAAACTTCCAAGATTATATATTACGAGCTTTTTTATTACTGGGGTGAAATCACATATTTTTGACAATATCTGTGTCGCTGTGGTATATACGTTGAAGACCGATACCTTTCTCTTAGATATTCCCAGCATTTGGTAGTGTAGGAGTGCTGTACTTGTCTATATTGTTACTAGGTATAATGGTTATTGATAATTATTAGTGATAATAGTAGGGTAATTAGCAGTCGTTTGGGCTTCTGCAAAAATAGAAAATTTTGCGTTTCAGCTGTGTAGTGGAATGCAAATGGCTTGAAAGTTTCACTTTTTCAATAGGAAAACTTCAATTACTCGAAAGCGGCGAAGAAAGTCTTTAAAACGTGAAAAAAATTCAAGATGACGAAGTTTACACGTCACACTGTTTTAATATTCTCGGTGCGGTGTGATGGTATTTGATGATCATGTGTACAAAATGACGGCATACAACACACGTGTACATATATAATTACAAGAAGAAAAAATCTTCTGATGTGTATTACATACATGCTACATACTTACAATGTGTGTCCATCTTGAACCGAATTTACACAGCCGCAATAAAGGACCCCCGTGTACACGTTGAGGGCCCAGGGGACCCATAAACGCATGGTTTTTCGGGTAGTATACGCCATTCAAAACGTTGGAAAAGTAATTTCCTTCATTTTGTATATGTTGTAGTTTCTTTCTTTGCCTCATTGAACGCGGTCAAAACGATGGACTAACCTTGACCGTTTGGACCTTCATTAACGAACCCCTTGCTACGTTGGCTTCCTATGTATTGTACAGACATTTTTTGGAGGTTTTCAAACCTTCTTATTCTTATTTGTGGTCTTTATTTATTGTTTTCTTTTTTTGTTCTAGGTAAGTGTTGCCGTTGTTTTCAAGTTGCTTTTCACTACGTGAGCGGTGAACCTTAAATTGAACAAATCCAAGTGGTGTCATGAAGACTGCAGTTAATTTCCACCGCAATCGAGTTAGCCAAGGCAAGAATATTTTTAGTTCGTTTTTCGGTCCTTCGTCCTGGTCTAATGAATTTTCTTTGGTGTGCATTTGGCCAATTTTGTGTCTCCTTTTTTGGCTAAATGCAAATTGGCCGTCATGTTCATTTCTTACACGCAAATATAAACACCTCGGGTTTAGCAATTAAAAAAAAATTAAAATGGAAACTTGGGCCAGGCATTGCCATACATGTTCATTCGTTGTGTTCACAATTACATTTTGAACAACTTTGGATATATGTAGTTGACGATTTCACGGGGTTCATCCGTTGAGGCTTTAGTGATGGCGGTGCTGAGTGCTAGACATTTGTGTAATGGAAATGCAGGTCATCAGATTAGACGGAGAAATTATTTTACTGTGCACACACATTTTTGAAGATGTGCGCAAGGCCGTCTTTTGAATTTTTGGAGTGTATTTGTGGCCTTTTGGAGTGCAAATTTTTGTAGAAAATTTGTCCAAAATAACCGTCTGAGAAGTAATAATGTGTACAGTTACAGATAATGATTATAACTATACCCATTTTCTTGTACTCGCATCCAACACGCCTACACTAAATGGTCTGATTCCCTCTTTCGGGTTCTTGTCGGGTTCCAGTGAGCAGAAAACGAGACAGGCGTGTATTTAACGTCTTTACTTTTTTTGTACAGGAACAGAGTTAATATATTTTTGGGGTTGATGTTTGCGATAGTAGAACATTAGAACATTGTTACATGACATTGTGTTTCTACGCCAAGACATACATTAATAAATCAATAAAGATCCGAATGGAACATTACAGACCTAAACTCAAATTTGTAATATTTTTCTATAGAATAGTTGCGCAGGTATCGAAGCTGCCTTAACCGTGACTGGCACTACCCAGGCACTTGTCTTTGAATGGGTTTGTCACGTCGATTGTTCGGTTTGATGTACCCTCCGTGGTTTATTGTTGGGAGATATTCAATCTATATGAATTGTAATGTTGGCTTAATGGCTATGTTGTGGTCTTCTCTGTGACCGCATTTGAAAATTTGTCAAGGAAAAACTTTCATTCTAGAAAATAATGTCGAAGGTTATTTTTTTTTGTTTCTTGTGTAGACAATGAATTTATCTGGTTGTTGGTTCCCACTGAAGTCACTTCTCATTATTTTGTGTAAGATATAGGTTTTCAGGGAATGCAGAAGGGCACATCTAGTAGCTTTACCGAGTAAATGTGCAGCATTATGGTTTGAAAATTCGGAAGAAATCAGTAGAGTTTTTATGTATGTATCTTTGGTTCTGCGTTTATTATTTTTGAAGCATGCATCTCAAAGCATTTCTAAAATATTGATTTTCACTTTACGGTTTCTGTTGGTACTGAATACCGTTAGTCTATTAATTGCATTTTCACATTAGATAATTCTTGTCTGTTGTCAATTTTACAGATTAGATTCTCATTCAGTTCCCAATAAAGGTATTTCCATTTTCTCCTGCGTCACTTTCTATGCCTTCTTTTTATACGTTTTGCGTTATTCGTACCTTCTCTTTATAGCTTGCACTTCCTTATCGCATTCATTTTTCGTTCTTTATTTGTCTCGATTGGGTAGTCATTTACCAAACTATTTCCCAGGGGTTTTCCTTCTTTCTGTCCTCGATTGTTGTTTACCAAAAAGAGGTAAGAGGACTCGTTTATTGACTGGTTCGCCGTAATTTCCCAATAAGTATTTTGATACCTAGGAATTACGAATTGAGTAAGTTAAGTATACTCAGAAGAGCTGAGTTAGTCTGTTTGTCTCTGAGTGTTCACCATGACAATATTTCATTATTTATGGGACCTGTTAAATGTTTCGTTTATTTCAAATTCTTTATATTGCCGAAATGAAGGACGCATTTTACTTCTCAATGTTAATTAGCGGGTTTTTTGTATGCGTCTTGTATTAGTAAGCATTGTTATAATATTATTGATGCTCATTTTTAAGTGCAAGCTGCCGCAGTACAGGACATAAAAACGTGTCGCAGTAGCAATTTCTATGACATTAATATATCGAACAAAATTTATTAAGCTTATTTTAAATCATTTAAAGTGGTTTGATTTGAATTTAATTTAAAAAACTTGTAGACAATTTGACGATAAAACAATCTGTACAGTTGAGATGAAATAAATTGTTAATTTTTAGTTTGTCTCTTCGGTTTCAACTTAAAAGTGCTTCAATGCGTTTTACTACATGGATATAATTATTTACATTCGATTGTTACACGTGCATAGGTACACTTACAAGGTACAATTTACTCAATATGAAATTTCATTATAATACTTTGTCAGAAAGTGGGTTTATTGACTCGTTTTTAAACTTTGTTTACAAAAAAAAAACGGACGGGAAAGTAATAAATATTTTTTAATAAGTTGGAGGTACGGGTTGAACAAGTCTTGTGTAACTCCCAGTGCTAATTTTTTTGAAATTTTCAGTCTACCAGTCGTAAACATGCAATGCGAATTTTACACCGCTCTTGACGTGTCCTCTGGTCCTTCACATCACTTTCTGGACAACGTAGAGAAGTTTTTTGTGGGACGAGTCTTAAATCATTCTTTGAGGTTCAACGTAACTCTCGTGACTATTTGGTCGATTTAGTATTCCTTTTACGCCTCTGCCATTTTCCTGGCAATTTACCATGTAGAAATAAGTTGGCGGTTGTTTAAAATGCAAGAAATTAACTGTAGTCCTAATTATC